AAATTTTAGTATCGTTCGTTAGCGAATTTTCACGGTTTTTTCAATACTAAATTGAAAAAAAGTGATACTTCTAAGCCGAATTTCGAACATCGGTCAATTCCAAACGAAAGAGCATACTTTTTTCTATATAATGGCATATTCTTTAGAGATTTTTTCTAAATAGTTAAAATTTTATGAGGAATATAGACAAAATTTTAGTATCGTTCGTTAGCGAATTTTCACGGTTTTTTCAATACTAAATTGAAAAAAAGTGATACTTCTAAGCCGAATTTCGAACATCGGTCAATTCCAAACGAAAGAGCATACTTTTTTCTATATAATGGCATATTCTTTAGAGATTTTTTCTAAATAGTTAAAATTTTATGAGGAATATAGACAAAATTTTAGTATCGTTCGTTAGCGAATTTTCACGGTTTTTTCAATACTAAATTGAAAAAAAGTGATACTTCTAAGCCGAATTTCGAACATCGGTCAATTCCAAACGAAAGAGCATACTTTTTTCTATATAATGGCATATTCTTTAGAGATTTTTTCTAAATAGTTAAAATTTTATGAGGAATATAGACAAAATTTTAGTATCGTTCGTTAGCGAATTTTCACGGTTTTTTCAATACTAAATTGAAAAAAAGTGATACTTCTAAGCCGAATTTCGAACATCGGTCAATTCCAAACGAAAGAGCATACTTTTTTCTATATAATGGCATATTCTTTAGAGATTTTTTCTAAATAGTTAAAATTTTATGAGGAATATAGACAAAATTTTAGTATCGTTCGTTAGCGAATTTTGACGGTTTTTTCAATACTAAATTGAAAATTTGATACTTCTAAGCCGAATTTCGAACATCAGTCTATTCCAAACGAAAGAGCATACTTTTTTCTATATAATGGCATATTCTTTAGAGATTTTTTCTAAATAGTTAAAATTTTATGAGGAATATAGACAAAATTTTAGTATCGTTCGTTAGCGAATTTTCACGGTTTTTTCAATACTAAATTGAAAAAAAGTGATACTTCTAAGCCGAATTTCGAACATCGGTCAATTCCAAACGAAAGAGCATACTTTTTTCTATATAATGGCATATCCTTTAGAGATTTATTCTAAATAGGTAAAATTTTATGAGTAATATAGACAAAATTTTAGTATCGTTCGTTAGCGAATTTTCACAGTTTTTTCAATATTAAATTGAATAAAAGTGATACTTCTAAGCCGAATTTCGAACATCGGTCAATTCCAAACGAAAGAGCATACTTTAATGGCATATTCTTTAGAGATTTTTTCTAAATAGTTAAAATTTTATGAGGAATATAGACAAAATTTTAGTATCGTTCGTTAGCGAATTTTCACGGTTTTTTCAATACTAAATTGAAAAAAAGTGATACTTCTAAGCCGAATTTCGAACATCGGTCAATTCCAAACGAAAAAGCATACCTTTGTCTATATTATGGCATATTCTTTAGAGATTTTTTCTAAATAGTTAAAATTTTATGAGAAATATAGTCAAAATTTTATTATCGATCGTTATCGAATTTTCACGGTTTTTTCAATACTAAATTGAAAAAAAGTGATGCTTCTAAGCCGAATTTCAAACATCGGTCTATTCCAAACGAAAGAGCATACTTTTTTCTATATAATGGCATATTCTTTAGAGATTTTTTCTAAATAGTTAAAATTTTATGAGAAATATAGACAAAATTTTAGTATCGTTCGTTAGCGAATTTTCACGGTTTTTTCAATACTAAATTGAAAAAAAGTGATACTTCTAAGCCGAATTTCGAACATCGGTCAATTCTAAACGAAAGAGCATACTTTTTTCTATATAATGGCATATTCTTTAGAGATTTTTTCTAAATATTTAAAATTTTATGAGGAATATAGTCAAAATTTTAGTATCGTTCGTTATCGAATTTTCACGGTTTTTTCAATACTAAATTGAAAAAAAGTGATACTTCTAAGCCGAATTTCGAACATCGGTCAATTCCAAACGAAAGAGCATACTTTTTTCTATATAATGGCATATTCTTTAGAGATTTTTTCTAAATAGTTAAAATTTTATGAGGAATATAGACAAAATTTTAGTATCGTTCGTTAGCGAATTTTCACGGTTTCTTCAATACTAAATTGAAAAAAAGTGATACTCCTAAGCTGAATTTCGAACATCGGTCAATTCCAAACGAAAGAGCATACTTTTTTCTATATAATGGCATATTCTTTAGAGATTTTTTCTAAATAGTTAAAATATTATGAGGAATATAGACAAAATTTTAGTATTGTTCGTTAGCGAATTTTCACGGTTTTTTCATTACTAAATTGAAAAAAAGTGATACTTCTAAGCCGAATTTCGAACACCGGTCAATTCCAAACGAAAGAGCTAACTTTTTTCTATATAATGGCATATTCTTTAGAGATTTTTTCTAAATATTTAAAATTTTATGA